GGGGGTGTGGCCTTATGACACACTTCCGGTGATGTCAGGGGGTGTGGCCTTATGACACACTTCCGGTGATGTCAGGGGGTGTGGCATATGCTAATGAGTTATGCTAATAAGTTCCCCTAGCTCTTTTTCTACAAAACGACCCCTGCTCCCCAGCTTCAAACATCTCCTCAGAACACTTAAGCCACGAACCCGTTCAAGAGGTCCCCAAACACTTTTGAGCCTGCAGACTCCTTAGGAAATCTGACACAGGGTGTGGAAGCAACCACAAAATGGCTGCCACTGGAGGCGGAGCCAGCCGCAAAATGACTGCCAAAGGAAGTGGAGCCATCCACAAAATAGCTGCCGCACAAGGTGGAGCTAGCCATAAAATGGGTGCCATGGGAGGTGGAGCCATCCACAAAATGGCTGTCAAAAGAGGTGGAGCCAGCCACAAAATGGCTGCCAAAGGGGTGGAGCCAGCCACAAAATGTCTGCCGCAGGAGGCGGAGCCAGCCACAAAATGGCTGCCGCAGGAGGCGGAGCCAGCCACAAAATGTAAGGGAATGAGGCTATGCGCAAGTCTAACAGCAGCTCTTCAGCATGTCAGGGAAAAGCCCTGTTCTAACAGGGTACTTTTAAAAAATGAACCTATTATTAAAAAATTCTTTTCTCGCATACACACAGCTTACCTCCCGTCACACCGTGAAGATACTTGTGCGGGTGGTGGCAGCTGCTGCCAAAGCAACATTTTTAAAGATCTGCAGAGTCAATCAAATCTCCAGTGGCCAATCAGAAACTCTGCTGGGCACCCCCCCCTGCCCTTGGCCCCATCCAATTTCTAAAAGGTGTTGGGGAAAGTGTCGCCAGGCACCACAGTGCCCCCTGGTGCCATGTTGGGGACCCCCTGCTTTAGCAAAACCCTATTGTCCTTTTCCCAGTGTGAAACTAAGCCCCTGAAGGACGCCACCCCTGTCTCTTGATCCCAACATGAAGAACATCAGATTGTAAGGTTATCGGGGCAGGTTCCTGTCTCTCGGATGTTTTTCTGTAAAGCATTACGTACTCCGAGAAGGTACCCAATATTTCCAACAACATTTCTAACAGGGATAGTTGGTCCCCCCTTACATATACATAAAAAATCCCATAAGGCAGGGGTGACAAACTCATTTGTTATGAGGGCCGGATCTGACCTAAACGAGGCCTTGTTGGGCCGGGCCATGTGCGTCATGAAATGTAATGCCAGGCAGCGGAGATATAAACTTTATAAAGGACTCAAACACAAAGGTAGGGTTTTTTTTCAGGGCTCTTTTTGTGGAAAAAGCCCAGCAGGAACTCATTAGCATAATAGGCCACACCCAACAGCAGGAACTCATTAGCATATTGGGCCACACTCCTGACAGCACAGTTGATTAGCACATTAGGCCGCACCCCCATGTTACCAGAAGTGTGGTTATCCAGCCACACCCACCTTTTCCTTGTTATTCTATTTACCTTGTTTGTTGTCAAACACCAGGGCTTTTTTGTAGCAGGAACTCCTTTGCATGTTAGGCCACACACCCCTAATGTAGCCAATCCTAATGAGTTCCTGCTGTTGGGTGTGGCCTATTATGCTAATGAGTTCCTGCTGGGCGTGGTCAACTTGGGAGCCAGCCGGAACTCCATTCCTGGCCAAATATAGCCCTGGTTTTTTTAACTTAAAATAAAAACATGCTTAAAACATGCAATATTTTGTTTATTTAACAGTGCCTGATAACAGACACCCCTTGCTCTGAATTACCGCATCAAAATGTCTGTGCTGTTGCAGTCTTGAGTATGCTGTTCAGGTGTGTCTCTGTAAGCTGCAAACCTACGATGCAGCAGCAGCAGCAGCAGAACTTGAAGAAGAAGCAGAAGACAGCCAGTTCCACTGCGGGCCTGAGAGAAGCCCTCCGGGGGCCTCATCCGGCCCCCAGGCCGCATGTTTGACACCCCTGCTGTAAAGCATTACGTACTCTGAGAAGGTACCCAATATTTCTAACAACATTTCTAACAGGGATAGTTGGTCCTCCTGTAGCACTCTAAGGTCATATTTCACCAAGAGGGGGGGGATTTGCAGGACACTCCTTTACATATACCCCCCCCCCCCATAAGGTATGGGATAGGGAGACGGGAGACCAAGGGTGCAACCGGGCATAACAGCTGTGGGTTAGCACCAAAATATTTATTTACTCCATTTGTACTCCTGTGAGGTAGGTGAGGCTGAGAGAGTGTGACTGTGCCCAGGTCACTCAGCGAGCTTCTGTGGCACTTGGGTCTCCCAAATGCTCGTCCACACTGGCTCTCAACTGCCACGGGAGAACTGGTCCTCCCTATAACTTTTTTCTTTTAAACTTGCAAATGCCTGCACATCGGCAGATGTCACGAAAGACAAAGAGAAAGAAAGGCTCGCCAGTCCCTGTCGTGTAATTAATTAATGAACGAACACGCATAAAAGCCATGGATATTATACCACAGGATATCCCTGCTCCATTCAGCCCGGAGAACGCATCACGCTTTCGGCGTTCCAAAGTAATTCTCCTGCTTTATTCGGTCATCAACCTTACAACCACCTTGTAAGTTAGACCGGTACCATCATTATCTTCCAGATATTATAGATGGGGGTGGGGTAAGGGGAGAGCATATTGCTTAACGCCAGGAAGTGAATGCAACTTAGAGAACTGAACAGGGGGTGATGGGAGGGGCTGATCTCCCAAATTATAGCTCAATTTCTAAACCATTTTGTCATCCCAGTTTCTCTTGCTACCGTCTCCCATGCCACGAGATTTGTTAAATCAGAACGTCAGAAGAGCCCTGCTGGATCAGACCAGAGGTCCACCTAGTCCAGCATCCTGTCTCACACAGTGGCCAACCAGTTTCTCTGGAGGGCCAACAATAGGGCATAGAGGCCGAGGCCTTCATAGGAACATCAGAAGAGCCCTGCTATATCAGGTCAGTGGTCCATCTACTCCAGCATCCTGTCTCACACAGTGGCCAACCAGTTTCTCTGGAGGGCCAACAATAGGGCATAGAGGCCGAGGCCTTCATAGGAACATCAGAAGAGCCCTGCTATATCAGGTCAGTGGTCCATCTACTCCAGCATCCTGTCTCACACAGTGCCCAGCCAGTTCCTCTGGAGGGACCACAACAGGGCAGAGAGGCAGAGTACTTCATAAGGACATCACACAGTGGCCACCCAGTTCCTCTGGAGGGCCAACAATAGGGCATAGAGGCCGAGGCCTTCATAAGAACACAAAAAGAGCCCTGCTGGGTCAGACCAGTGGTCCATCTACTCCAGCATCCTGTCTCACACAGTGGCCAACCAGTTCCTCTGGAGGCCCAACAGCAGGGCATAGAGGCTGAGGCCTTCATAGGAACATCAGAAGAACCCTGCTATATCAGGTCAGTGGTCCATCTACTCCAGCATCCTGTCTCACACAGTGGCCAACCAGTTCCTCTGGAGGCCCAACAGCAGGGCATAGAGGCTGAGGCCTTCATAGGAACATCAGAAGAACCCTGCTATATCAGGTCAGTGGTCCATCTACTCCAGCATCCTGTCTCACACAGTGGCCAACCAGTTCCTCTGGAGGCCCAACAGCAGGGCATAGAGGCTGAGGCCTTCATAGGAACATCAGAAGAACCCTGCTATATCAGGTCAGTGGTCCATCTACTCCAGCATCCTGTCTCACACAGTGGCCAACCAGTTCCTCTGGAGGCCCAACAGCAGGGCATAGAGGCTGAGGCCTTCATAGGAACATCAGAAGAACCCTGCTATATCAGGTCAGTGGTCCATCTACTCCAGCATCCTGTCTCACACAGTGGCCAGCCAGTTCCTCTGGAGGGCCAGCAACAGGGCAGAGAGGCCGAGGCCTTCCCCTGATGTTACCTCCTACTGACTGATTGATTGCATTAGATTTCTCGGCCACTCAGGGCAGTTTACAACAGAATGATTCGATACCTTACAAAACCAATTAGAAGGATAAGAATTCAACATGAAACAAATTCAAACATAAATATTTGAAAACATTCTAAGAACAAGATGGCATATCTAGCATTCAGTTTTGGTCGAGGAGGGGGAGTCCTAGCACTGGGGCTCAGGGACTGATTGCCTCTGAACGTGGAGGTTCCCTTTAGTCCCCGTGGCTGGTAGCCACTGATGGACCAGTCCTCCATGCTCTTCCTTGGCCCACGTGGTGCAGGGCCCGTTCTCCTCTCAAAGAATCTGCTTCCCTGTTCCCCACCACTACCACACATCAGGGCACGCCACACACCTGAAGTTTGGAGCCGAGGCCCATTCCAGCGCCAGACAGGCCAAATCCACAGTGGCGTAGACCAAGAGGAAGAAGATGGTCACCACGGCAGCGATGGTGTTCAGCTTTCCTGAGAACAGCACCACCTGCGAGGGGGAGAGCGACAGAGACGGGGGCGGGTTACGAACAACCACGAAAGAGCTTTGAAACCCAGGAGACCGACTCAGGGGCTGCCTGCCTGCCGTTTGGTGGACATCGGGGCCTTGTAGCCCCGCCCCCTTGACCACGCCCACCATTCCTTTCTCCTTAACAGGCACTGTAAGATTTAATGACCAGAGAACAAGGTCAACACCAGGCAGCCCTGAGAAAGACAGGAGCGCTCCGTCTATGAACATCAGCTGCTTAATGTGGTAAGAAAACTTTGTGAAGCCAAGTTATATTAGAAATATTGTATAATTGTTAGATTCGTGAATCATGTCTTTTAACAGCCTCTCGTAGGACCAGCAACACACATCAATCTAAACATCAATGAAACCACAAAAGAAAGCTTTCCCCCTTTAGAAGACTTTCAAGCAAGGAGAAGCGAGCGTAGAATTCTAGAAACTCCTGCTGGGGTTTGACTTTGGTGGGGAAAAGGATGTAAATTGACCGGTCGTTATTATCCTGAATGAATCGATTATTATTGTTGATATTGCATGTAAGGAATATATACCTGATTTAGGATATTATAAATGGCACACAATGCACTTTATAGAACACATTGATTTATAAAAATAGATTTTTGCAGTGTATATACTTTTTGTTCGAAGCCTCCAGGTGGGGCCTGGGGAATCTCCCGCTTTCACAACTGATCGCTGGCTGACAGAGATCAGTTCCCCTGGAGAAAATGGCTGCTTAAAAGGGTGGACTCTATGGCGTCGTGCCATGCTGAGGCCCCTCCCCAAACCCCGCCCTCTCCTGGCTCCACCCCCAAAGTCTCCAGGTATTTTCCAACCCTGGTAACCCTAGAAGCAGCACAATTTCCTAAGGGTTTCTGTGCAAGTGTCTTTCCCTCAGCACAGAAATGCCTGCAGCCTCCCACCCTCTCCAAGAGCTTCCTTCCGGGGACGACACCTGGGTTATCGCACAGGCCTACGCCCCGGTGTTCCTCTTGAGACGTTACAGAAAGCCCTGGCAGAACAGGTCTCTATGGCAGAAGGAGGGGTCATAGCTTGCTGGAAGCTGCCTTGAAGAGGAGGAAGAAGAGGAAGAGGAGGAGGAAGAGGAGGAGATTAGATTTAGACCCCACCCTTCACTCGGAGTCTCAGAGCGGTTTACAATCTCTTTTCCTTTCCCCTCCCCACAAGAGACACCCTGGGAGGTAGGTGAGGCTGAGAGAGGTCTTTCGAGGACTGCCCATGAGAGAGGACTGTCCTTGATAAAAAGTAGAGACATCACCCTGCCAACAGAAGTCCGCATGGTCAAAGCAATGGTATTCCCAGTAGTCATGTATGGCTGCGAGAGTTGGACTATAAGGAAGGCCGAGCGCCGAAGAATAGATTCTTTTGAACTACGGTGCTGGAGAAGACTCTTGAGAGTCCCTTAGACTGCAAGGAGATCCAATCAGTCAATCCTAAAAGAAATCAACCCTGACTGTTCCCTGGAAGGCCAGATAATGAAACTGAAGCTCAAATACTTTGGCCACCAAATGAGAAGGGAGCACTCACTGGAGAAGACCCTGATGCTGGGAAAGATTGAAGGTCAAAGAAGACAGGGACGGCAAAGGATGAGATGGTGAGACAGTGTCATAGATGCAACGAACATGAAGTTGAGCAAACTTCAGAGGACGGCGGAAGACCGGAAGGCCTGGCATGATCTGGTCCATGGGGTCGCGAAGAGTCGGACTCGACTGTGCGACTGAACAACAACAACAACTTGAGAGAACAGCTCTGACCGAACTATGGCTCGCCCAAGGCCATCCAGCAGCTGCATGTGGAGGAGTGGGGAATCAAACCCAGATCTCCCAGATTAGACTGGGTTCTCCCACATCCTCCAGTGGAGCTAACACCAGAAAAGCAGGGCAAGGGATTGAACACAGCGCAGAAAGCCTCCAAACCCACAAACGAAAAGGGGTTCACAGCCGCTTTTTAAAACCTTTTAAAATATGCGCAGTTACAGAATCCTGGCTTCCCATTTAGTTCTTCACTCAAAGGAGAAAATATCGGGCTGGGAGGATCGGTGGAGTAACGCAAAAAAACAAAAGGGGGAAAAAAACAACAGTCCTCGTGGCATTTTAAAGGCCGACATATTTTCATCCTAGCGTTTACCTAAAAAAAAATTTCTCGGCCCTTTCAATCAGCCTTCATCAGGGACATGATTCTCCTTTCTCGTGTTCCGCCGCCGCAAAACCAAACACGCCTACCCCCCTCTGGAAGAATGCGTCTTCACCAACTCATGTATATTCAAAGCCTTCGATTCCCGCTCCCTCCAAATATTCGCACACGAACGGCGCATCTCCCCTGCATCGAATCGCACCGCCGATCCACACGCCTCGGCATGGTCTACTCTGAGAATGGCACTCTCCCGTCTGCATGCACATCATGCGCTCTGCCGGCAGTCTGTGGCCCTTCCCATGGGGACCACCCCCCACACAAACTCTTCCCTTCCACACACACACACCCCGCCGCCTCTTCGGTCGCTGCTGCTTCTTCACAGCACAGTCCGACCCGGTGTAATTGCTTGGGGTGGAGGGGGGAGCAGATTATTCAGACCCACTTAAGCAATTGGGGATTTTTAGCTGCTTGTGAGTTAATAGCGTGCGCCGAGCAGAGACCGTGCCTGGACCCTCTAATGGAGTCTCTCCCCTTCCCCCCTCCCTAGATGCTTGCCTTTGATTTATAATTCATTTAGCTGCTCGTCAAGGTAAAAGGAGCCATCGCTGAAAGGTACCGTGCCCCCTGCGCCAAGGGGGGGGCACGGAGACCGTGGGCAGGTGTATGTGGGGGGTGGGGAGGGGGTGGGGAGCAACAAGCCAAGCTAGGCGGCAGGCTCTTGATTGGCACTGTTCAGGGAAGCCTCCGCGGGCCGGCTGACGGGGACTCGGGCCGGTATTGACGGGCCTTTCGAATCGCCGCAGACGGCGGCAACGCAAGGTCCAGGTCCCATCGATGCCTTTCAAGTTGGGAGATGCGCTGGGGTGTGGGTGGGAAGACGACAACAAAGGCATGCAAGTTGACAGATTGGGAAAATCACAGACAAGAGAGCTGGGCTAAGCCGACATGTCTGCATCCTAGCATTTACTGAAAAGGCATCTCTCGGCCTTTCAATCAGCCTCCACTGCGGCCAACAGGCAGACCCCGCCACACCTCCCTTTGCATCCCCTCTGTGCTCGGAGACTTGCAAGAGGAACCGTCAGCTCCGGGATCGGGACCCGGGTGGCTTCTGTACCCCCGGGGCCAGTTTTCCAAAGGAGGCAGTTGGGCTGTTACGATTTGGCGCCACCACTGTAGATGGCCAGAGTGTGGGACTGCAGCAGGAGTCAAGCAGCACCTCTCTTATGTTCTTATGTTCTTAAGCAGCACAAGGTGGAAACTGGGCTCCATCTGGCCTTATGAAGCTTCTGAGTAGCTTGCCACTCAGGCACAGACTAAGGTCCCCACCTGCCTTTTTCCGGCTCACCCTGAGACTGCCAGCTTGGCTTTCTTTCTCTTGGGTCTGGCTACCATATATCCTTTGGAACCAAGTGGGTTGGCTAGATGTGGCAGGCAGAGGCAGGGGACGGGTTGCGCCCTGTGCCACGGAGAGGCTGAAAAAAGTACCAGCTTTCCTTAGGGCACCTACTGAGTTTGCACCTGTGTCGAGATTTGCACTGGGCACTGCCAACGTCCGATTCCCCCTTTTAGCCGGTTATGCTCTTGGGGCCCGCTAATGGGAGGGGTCCTGTCTCGAGGCAAGGGAGTCAGCCTGGATGGCGTTGTCCTTTTAAAACAGGATTCTATATTTTGCATTTTTCTTTCCCTGATTTTTTTGGGGGGCAGCAATCACTCTGTTCCGTGTGCCTTGGTGTTTAGTCATGCCGGCCACATGACCGCGGGAACGTCTTCGGACAGCGCTGGCTCTTCGGCTTTGAAACGGAGATGAGCACCGCAACCCTAGAGTCGGATTCGACTGGCTTTCGAGCAAGGGAACCTTTACCTTTACCTTAATCAGTCTGTAGTTACATATTCACTGCCCCCCATATATCCGTTTTCTTTGAGGCGGGGAAAGCGTTCCAGCCCCTCGCATGGGGTGATTCTGCATTGGCTTTTCCCTCCACTGTTTTAGCAAACCCACGTTGGAACAGAAATTCCCCTCTGCATTGCAAGCTACTTTCACTTCCTTGGATCCTCGGATTTTATGGTACCCTCTACACCGCATGCCGCTTTCGCTTTCTTTGATCATCGGGTTTTATGGCACCTTCTGTATAGGTTTATGGCCATTCAGGGGTGGCTTTGCAGTCAGTACGGCATTGCCCTGAGGTATTTGAATGTGGTTTTCAGCTGCACTCTTCCCTCCCAGTTGAGAAAAATATGGAGCAAATGCTAGATGCAGAATCGCCTGTGTCTAACAGAAGGAATGGAAAGAATTCCACCTTCACTCCCCAAGATTTATTTCATTTATACCCCCCTTTTCTTCACATAAGGAGCTGCGGTGGCTGAAGTGGTTAAGATGCTGAACTGCAGGCTGTGGAAGGTCGGTAGTTCAGCAGTTCGAGACCCAAGTGTGCCGCATGATGGAGTGAGCTCCCGTCTCTAGTTCCAGCTCCTGCCAACCTAGCAGTTCGAAAGCAAGAAATTGCAAGCGGATAAATAGGTACCACTTTGGTGGGAAGGTAACAGCGTTCCGTGTGCCTTGGTGTTTAGTCATGCCGGCCACATGACCACGGAAACGTCTTCAGACAGCGCTGGCTCTTCGGCTTGGAAACGGAGATGAGCACCGCAACCCTAGAGTTGGATTCAACCGGCTTTCGAGCAAGGGACCCTTTACCTTTACCTTTCTTCACAACGGGGACCCAAAATGGCTCATATTATCCTCACAACAGCCCTGTAAAGAAGGTTATGCTGAGAGTGTATAACTGGCTTAAGTTGACCCAGCAGGTTCCATGGCACAGCCAAGATCTGAACCTGGG